GGCGGGGGGCTGAAGTAACATCAGAGAGGCTTGCAAGACACAGATGTCTATGAAAGTCGCACTACTTTCAAAATCGGTGCGACTTTGACCAAGTCAGAATCTCACTGATATGACTGCTTCAATTGTGGACAATAGGGTGCGACTTGCCATGGGATTTGAAACTTGTATCGCATGGCAAATCGCATGGCAAGTTGCAACCGCTATGACTGGGCAATAAAACCCTTGCTTATACCCCAGGGGTCAGCAACTGTGGCCCTCCAGCTGTTGGTGAACTATGAGTCCCATCATGCCTCTGCCTTTGGGAGTCATGCTTGTAATTGTCAGTTTTGCAATGCCTCATGTAGTTCTACAACAGCTGGAGGGCCACAGTTGCCCACCCCTGTTATACCCAGTGTCCACCCCTGTTATACTCAGTGAAGTGGCTGGCCTCAGGTGATACACAGAGATGAAACATCCTCCTACATACGTTGTACCTGTTTATCTGCAGTCTTCTCTTCTCTACATCCATTCAAAGTGCAAACTTTATACTCTTAGCTATGAAAAGCAGGGGGGGGCTGAGGTAACATCATTGAGGAGAACTCTGACAGCTGATTGGAGGGAAGGGACACCCCCCCCCCCCTTACACAGCACAGGAGCAGAGCTGAGGCTGTCAATCACAGGCTGTGTGCTGGAGCTCCCATTCATCACCTTTTTTCTTTTGGTGTCAGGAAAATTTGTCAGAAGTGATTCATGCTGATTGCAGAGGAAGGAGGCAGAAGAGAGAAATGACAGTGATCCGGATTGGGTTCAGATCAAATATATAGCCCCCCATATATGCAGGGAAGGAAGGTCTAAAGCCCCCTTTAATCTTGGATACATTGGGTGGCTGATGTTACACCAGTGGGTGACGTCTTCGGCTCTGACGTGACACTTGCTCCCGCCGGGGGCCAGCGGTGGTCCATGCCTGATTGCGCCTCGCAGCATTTCTGCAAACATAAAATGACAGGCGAAGATTGCACCCTGAGTGGCTTTATGTAATCAGAGCAATAGGCGCCGTCCTCTCTGAATTCTGGGGGTTTATAGGAAAACAGTTTTGATGTATTATCGAGCGCCGAGGTGTCTAAATTTAGAAGCTTTTCATAGAGATAATCTTGTTCCGGCAACTTGCACACAGCCAGTGACATTAGTCATAGACATGGCGTGCGGAGAATCTGCGAATAATGATTATCTTCTGGAGAGCGGCAAAACAATCCCATCGCGGCACCAACCCCGCTCAATGGCACTTCCAAGGCTGCGCCGCTATTGGCGGAGATTATGTAAGAGCGCCTGTTACAGCGCAAGGTCACTTTCATAATATTTCGAATGCTTGTCACATGTTTGCTTTGCATCCTTTAAAAAAAGACTTTCCTCTGCCAGCACGCTGCCCATACTCCCCGTGGGGAAGCAGTGGTGTCTCTACAGAGGTCCACCGCTCAATGGGAGTCAAATCTAGAACTCTCCAATCAGGAGGAAGTGTGAGCTTTGCTGATTGGTGAGCTCTAGCTCTGATTCAGCAGGGAGGGAGTATCAGACAACTCCAGAGAGACCACTGCTTCCGCATAGAATGAGGTTCCTTCTGTACAGGGCCTGGACAAGGGATGGGCAGGAGGGGCGGCTGCCCTGGGCGCAATTTGCTGCAAGGATGGGGGCACCTTCCTTCTGTTACAAGGCTGACAGGAGTAGCGACAGCGGCAGTGATTTTGACGAGTGAGTGCTGGGCATAGGATCCCCTAAGATGGCAGTTCATGAACCCGGGGGGGGGAGGTTGGCATCTTTACCCTGGGTGCTGGATGTAGGGCCAGGACAAGGGGTGGGCAGGAGGGGCGGCTGCCCCGGGCGCAATGATTTTCTGCAAGGATGGGGGTGACACCTTCCTTCTGTTACAAAGCTGACAGGAGTAGCGACAACGGGAGTGATTTTTTTGACGAGTGACTGCTGGGCATAGGATCCCCTAAGCTGTCAGTTCATGAACCCGGGGGGGGGAGGTTGGCATCTTTACCCTGGGTGCTGGATGCAGGCCCGGGACAAGGGGTGGGCAGGAGGGGCGGCTGCCCTTGGCGCAATTTGCTGCAAGGATTGGGGCACCTTCCTTCTGTTACAAGGCTGACAGGAGTAGCGACAGCAGCAGTGATTTTGATGAGTGACTGCTGCGCATAGGATCCTCTAAGCTGGCAGTTCATGAACCCAGGGGGGGTTTGGTATCTTTGCCCTGGGTGCTGGATTCAGGGCCGGGACAAGGGGTGGGCAGGAGGGCTGGTTGCCCCGGGCGCAATGATTTGCTATAAGGATGGGGGCACTTTCCTTCTGTTACAAGGCTGACAGGAGTAGCAACAGTGGCAGTGATTTTGACAAGTGACTGCTGGGCATAAGATCCCCTAAGCTTGCAGATCAGGAACCCGGAGGGGGGAGGCAGTTTGGCATCTTTTCCCTGGGAAAAAAGTGACAGGGGAGGGAGCTCCAGCACACAGCCTTCTGTTACAAGGCTGACAATAGTAGTGACAGCGGCAATGATTTTGACCATTGAGTGACTGCTGGGCATAGGCTCCCCTAAGCTTGCAGACCATGAACCCGAGGGGGGGGGGGGCATTTGTTGTTTGGGGCTGTGACAAGTAAAAACATAGCCCAGTATTAGTGATGCACCGATATATCGGGCACCGAAACTTATCGTCCAAAAATAGGGTTATCAACGCTTTGCGAATAGAAAAAATAAAGGTGCCGATAATGATAATTGACTTCTTGCAAAATTGTGTCCCAATGACTTCAATGCAAAATTATGTCCTATTGACTTTAATGCAAAATTGTGTCCCAATGACTTCAATGAAAAATCGCATCCTTTTTTACTTCAATGTAAAATCGAATCCCATTGATTTCAATGGAAAATTGCGTCCCATTGACTTCAATGCAAAAATGCCCCTATTGATTTCAATGCAAAACCACCTCTATTTAGGTTTTTTTAATTTTATATAATTTTCATTTTTTTTTTGTGTTACTTTCAGTAAAAGTTATTTTTTTCATTACTGGATTGTATTGTTTTTAAATCATATTAATTTAATTCATGATATTAATTAAAAAGTCTAATACAATATAATTATATATACAACATATAAAAAAAACTGTTTCAGTTTTTGGCCAAGTGTATCCTGAATTTTCAGTTTCAGTCCAGAATTTTAATTTCCATGCACCACTACCCAGTAGGTCAAGTCTTAAAGTTGTGTACCCCCATGAAACAGTGACAGACTTTAGTCCCCTATATTTTCCATAGGTGACACTGTAAAAGCCCCTACAGATCATCAGCTTAGCATCAACTGTGAATTAAGGCCCTAGAATTACCGCTGTCACTCCAACATTTGTGGTGATATGTAACATGCAGCACAATCTTTATTTTTGTACATAGGGGTATCCGCTGCATGAGTTTATGTTCTTATATATGTATGGAGACTTGGAGTATGGAGTACAGAGACTTGACAGTTTTTTATGTTTTACATGTAATTAATTTTTTTTTCAAATTAGCTTTATTGCTGTCATACAGGAGGCCAATAGCCCACGATGTTATAGCATACAGTAATGACAGGTCCTCTTTACTAACCTTGGATGTCTCCCCTGTCCTCCTCTGAGGCAGAATGTGATCCATTAGCTTCTTCTTCCTTCTTCTTCCTCCTTCTTCTTCCTTCTTCTTCCTCCTTCTTCTTCCTTCTTCTTTTTCCTTCTTCTTCCTCCTTATTCTTCCTTCTTCTTCCTTCCTCTTCTGCACCCTTCCTCTTCTTCCTTCTTCCTCCTTCTTCTTCCTTCTTCTTCTGCACCCTTCCTCTTCTTCCTTCTTCCTCCTTCTTCTTCCTTCTTCTTCCTTCTTCTTTCTGCACCCTTCCTCTTCTTCCTTCTTCCTCCTTCTTCTTCCGTCTTCTTCTACACCCTTCTTCTTCTTCCTCCTTCTTCTTCTTCTACTTCCGTCTTCTTCCTCCTCCTTCATCTTCTTCTTCCTCTTATTCTTCCTCCTTCTTCTTCCTTCTTCTTCTTCTTCTTCCTTCTTCTTCCTCCTTCTTCTTCCTTCTTCCTCCTTCTTCTTCTTCTTCTCCTCCTTCTGCTTTCTTCGTCTTCCTCCTCCTCCTCATCTTCTTCTTCCTCTTATTCTTCCTCCTTCTTCTTCCTCCTTCCTCTTCTTCCTTCTTCTGCTTCCTCCTTCTTCCTCCTTCCTCCCTATTGTCTACATATATCGGTGCTGTTCAGACTTGGAGCCGCAATGATTTCTAAAGCAGCACATGCACTACATTTAGTGTGGTTTGCATAGACATCTGTGTCAGATGTCTTGCAAATCGCACCTGAAATCGGCCTGTCCTCCGACTTCACTGTAAGTCGTACGATTTCAAAGTCGGGCTTGATGTGACCGGGGTGTAAAGTAATTCTTTACTAAACCTGCCCCAGAAACAGGACACTTGTGGAATAAGAGTTCGGTTTGCAATGGCGGCGGGGGTGCAGGTAGGGGTCAGGGGGGCAGGTAGGGGTCAGGGGTGCAGGTAGGGGTAAGGGGCGCAAGTAGGGGTAAGGGGCTCAAGTAGGGGTTAGGGGTGCAGGTAGGGGTCAGGGGTGCAGGTAGGGGTAAGGGGCGCAAGTAGGGGTAAGGGGCACAAGTAGGGGTTAGGGGTGCAGGTAGGGTAAGGGGCGCAAGTAGGGGTTAGGGGTGCAGGTAGGGGTAAGGGGTGCAAGTAGGGGTAAGGGGCACAAGTAGGGGTTAGGGGTGCAGGTAGGGGTAAGGGGCACAAGTAGGGGTTAGGGGTGCAGGTAGGGGTAAGGGGCGCAAGTAGGGGTTAGGGTGTGCAGGTCAGGGTGTGAACACAGCGAGAAAACGAATCAATATTTTTAGCCCAATGAGCCAGATATTTCAATGTAACAATTACCATCATTTGTTGACATCTCCATCTCTTCTTCCTTGTAATCCATTTCTATATGATCCCTTCCATTAACAGAAAACCTCGCCAGCGCACACAATGAAGGAGGAGAACTTCCTCCGACGCAGATTCTCCTTGTGCCCGACCACCATCGCCGCCCAGAAGAATGACAGCAACAAGCTGACGCGGAACCTCTCCTTCGGAGGCGACCATGATATCCATTCTCTGAGCACAGGTGAGTGTTAAAGGGGTATTAAACCCAAAACCAAATATGTAACATAAAAATAGAACACAACCAACCCCCAGCGAATATGCAGTTCAGTTTTGGGCTCCAATTCACAAAAAGAACATTGGGGAACTGGAGAAAGTACAGAGAAGGACAACCAAACTGATAAGAGGCATGGAGGAGCTCAGCTATGAGGAAAGATTAGAGGAACTGAATTTATTCTCTACTGAAAGAGGAGATTAAGGGGGGATATGATCTCCATGTATAATACATAAGGGGGATATGATCTCCATGTATAATACATAAGGGGGGATATGATCTCCATGTATAATACATAAGGGGGGATATGATCTCCATGTATAATACATAAGGGGGGATATGATCTCCATGTATAATACATAAGGGGGGATATGATCTCCATGTATAATACATAAGGGGGATATGATCTCCATGTATAATACATAAGGGGGGATATGATCTCCATGTATAATACATAAGGGGGGATATGATCACCATGTATAATACATAAGGGGGGATATGATCTCCATGTATAATACATAAGGGGGATATGATCTCCATGCATAATACATAAGGGGGGATATGATCTCCATGTATAATACATAAGGGGGGATATGATCTCCATGTATAATACATAAGGGGGATATGATCACCATGTATAATACATAAGGGGGGATATGATCTCCATGTATAATACATAAGGGGGGATATGATCTCCATGTATAATACATAAGGGGGGATATGATCTCCATGTATAATACATAAGGGGGGATATGATCTCCATGTATAATACATAAGGGGGGATATGATCTCCATGTATAATACATAAGGGGGGATATGATCTCCATGTATAATACATAAGGGGGATATGATCTCCATGTATAATACATAAGGGGGATATGATCTCCATGTATAATACATAAGGGGGATATGATCTCCATGTATAATACATAAGGGGGATATGATCACCATGTATAATACATAAGGGGGGATATGATCTCCATGTATAATACATAAGGGGGATATGATCTCCATGCATAATACATAAGGGGGGATATGATCTCCATGTATAATACATAAGGGGGGATATGATCTCCATGTATAATACATAAGGGGGATATGATCACCATGTATAATACATAAGGGGGGATATGATCTCCATGTATAATACATAAGGGGGGATATGATCTCCATGTATAATACATAAGGGGGGATATGATCTCCATGTATAATACATAAGGGGGGATATGATCTCCATGTATAATACATAAGGGGGGATATGATCTCCATGTATAATACATAAGGGGGGATATGATCTCCATGTATAATACATAAGGGGGATATGATCTCCATGCATAATACATAAGGGGGGATATGATCTCCATGTATAATACATAAGGGGGGGATATGATCTCCATGTATAAATACATCAGTGGTGTATATAGTGAACTCGGTGTACTTATTCCCCCTGAGGTCATCACAGAGGACAAGGGGGCACACTTCACGTCTGGAGGAAAAGAAATGTAATCTCCAAACACAGAAAGGCTTCTTCACAGTAAGAGCTGTGAAAATGTGGAATAGACTCCCTCAAGTGTTGGTTCAGGCCAGCTCAGTGGATTGCTGTAGGAAAGTCCTGGACTCTTTCTTAGATACACAGAATATAACTGGATATAACATTTATACGTAAAGTTGATCCAGGGAATATCCGGTTGCCTCTCGAGGGATCAGGAAAAAATTCTTTCCCCTGCAGGAGCAAATTGGATCATGCTTTGCTGGGTTTTTTTTGTCTTCCTCTGGATTGCCTATGGGTATAGGATTATGACTTTTTTTATGGTTGAACTGGATGGACTTTTGTCTTTTTTCAGTCAGACTAACTATGTAACTATGTAACATCTCCAGGGAGTGGGCCCTGAAACCCGGGAAGGATCCGCAATGTACAGGTGTATTGCTGTGCCTGTACAAGCCGCTCGTCTGCAGTATGGCGGGTCGGAAAGCAGTTAAAGGAATTGGACATTTTTATTGCTTCACCTTAAGCATTTAAAAAACTGCTTCAGGCCAAATGGATTTTTTTTTAAATCATTTTTTCCTTGGAATATGTTCCCCAGGGCAGTCCCTCACCTCTCCCTGAGCTATTTTTTTTAACACCTCCTTGCCTATTGGGCCAGAAAATGGGCATTTTTAATATGCCAGATTTGGCTCCCATTGATTTCAATGTGGTTCGGCATCAGAACCCTGCAGAACCAGACCCAAGGCAGTTCAGCTCCTCACTATTGTTTGGGGTTCTCTGGTTCTATATGTAGTCTCTCCTCCTTTAGTCTAGGTTCACACCTAAGCGTTTTCCGTTGTGTTTTGCGGAAACGCACAGCAGTCCATTTAACATGATTTCCTATGGGACAGGTTCTCATCTCCACGTTATTACCCGGTGCATTTTATGGAAAGAGTCAGGGATTTTTTTAAACGCAAAACATTACGCTTTTGGTTCTATAGACTTTCACGGAGATGCCGCAGAAATGCATCTAGTGCATTTTTTTTTTTACTATGATGCGTTTTACGGTTTAATCTGCCGAGCAACAGGTTGGAAAAAAAACATGCAAAAAAGCATCAAAAAACGCATGAGCAAAAACGCAAAACCCACCGCAAAAAGCACTGCAGAAATGGATTAAACACAAACTGCATAGGTGTGAACCCAGCCAGGGGCGGACTGACCATTTGGAAACTCGGGCACTGCCCGAGGGCCTGGGGTCAGTAGGGGGCCCCATGAGATGCCCCTGGTACCTTTTTCATAGGCTTTTTTGAGCTTGGGCAAGGACACAGGGGCCCCATGATCCGCTATTGCTCAGGGGCCCCATGAGTTGTCAGTCCGCCCCTGCGCAGCACTTTACATATATATTGTACATTCACATCAGTCCCTAACTCTCAAGGGGCGTACAATCTAAGGTCCCTAACTCACATTCATACATACACATACTAGGGGCAATTTAGACAGGATCCAATTAACCTACCAGCATGTCTTTGGAGTGTGGGAGGAAACCGGAGTACCCGGAGGAAACCCACACAGGCACAGGGAGAACATGCAAACTCCAGACAGGTGGTACCGTGGCTGAGATTCAAACCAACAACCTGAGTACTGCCAGGCGGAAGTGCTGACCATTTAGCCACTGTGCTGCCCGTATACATAGCCTGTGCAGAGAGAAGAGGTATGGGAGGGGCCTAACAGTTTGAGCAAGGACACAGGGGCCCCATGTTCCCCTATTGCCCGGGGGCCCCATGAGTTGTCAGTCCGCCCCTGAATCCAGCCTTAGTGTCCCGGCACCGGCTGTAGAATACCATTCTAGGTAGGGAACGGTTGGGCTCTATGCTCCATCTGCTCACAGATTAGACGTGCATTGAATGGGAAATATCTCATAAGCAGCTTGGCGGAGCAGAAACAGATTTTTTCCTACAACTGTATGAGTTTAAATTGGTAATATAATAACATTCTTCTTGATGATATATTCACAACATTTTCCAGTACAAGTCACATATGTAGCGTGTACAGGAGGTAAGCTTGTTCTGTGACCAGTACCAGCATTGAATGATATCTGGGAGGGGATGTATCTATACCAGGGGCGGACTGACCATTTGGAAACTCGGGCACTGCCCGAGGGCCCAGGGTCAGTAGGGGGCCCCATGAGATGCCCCTGGTACCTTTTTCATAGGCTTTTTTGAGTTTGGGCAAGGACACAGGGGCCCCATGATCTCCTATTGCCCGGGGGCCCCATGAGTTGTCAGTCCGCCCCTGATCTATACTGTTATAGTTTTCACACCTATGCGATCCGATTCTGCACATCGCACCGCGTTTTGCGGACCACTTTCGGGGTGTTGTTATCTTAACGCACACACCCGCTGCGGTTCGCATGAACGGATGCGATTCTGATGCGGTGAAAACGCTGCGAATTCCGCACCGCATCAGTGTGAACCAGGGCTTAATGTTCTCTGCAGAGGTAGAGAGCTCACCGGATTTTCGGCAGGATCAGCGCATATTTGTTGAATGTTTCAAACAGATATAACAAAACAGTTCCAATGGTAGATTTACCGGATCACAAGGGGGCAGATGGTGTAAGAGCGCACTGTTGGGGTTGATCCCCTTTAACGTCTGCATTCTGTTGATCCTTGCTCTAGCTCAGCATCAGGGGCGGACTGACCATTTGGAAACTCGGGCACTGCCCGAGGGCACAGGGTCAGTAGGGGGCCCCATGAGATGCCCGTGGTACCTTTTTCATAGGCTTTTTTGAGTTTGGGCAAGGACACAGGGGCCCCATGATCCCCTATTGCTTGGGGGCCCCATGAGTTGTCAGTCCGCCCCTGGGTTGATCCCCTTTAACGTCTGCATTCTGTTGATCCTTGCTCTAGCTCAGCATCAGGGGCGGACTGACCATTTGGAAACTCGGGCACTGCCCGAGGGCACGGGGTCAGTAGGGGGCCCCATGAGATGCCCCTGGTACCTTTTTCATCGGCTTTTTTTGAGTTTGGGCAAGGACACAGGGGCCCCATGATCCCCTATTGCCCGGGGGCCCCATGAGTTGTCAGTCTGCCCCTGGGTTGATCCCCTTGAACGTCTGCATTCTGTTGATCCTTGCTCTAGCTCAGCATCAGGGGCGGACTGACCATTTGGAAACCTGGGCACTGCCCGAGGGCACGGGGTCAGTAGGGGCCCCATGAGATGCCCCTGGTACCTTTTTCATCGGCTTTTTTTGAGTTTGGGCAAGGACACAGGGGCCCCATGATCCCCTATTGCCCGGGGGCCCCATGAGTTGTCAGTCTGCCCCTGGGATGATCCCCTTGAACGTCTGCATTCTGTTGATCCTTGCTCTAGCTCAGCATCTCAGAAAACACTGACACCGGGAACCATCAGACAACTCATAGTTTTTTTAGTACAGATGAGCTCATTTGCACATTTGTTTCTTTTTCCGCTTCTGAAATGGAGAAAAAAGAAACCCTGAAAAGGTTATATTAAGACATCAGATGGTTTTATTAATAGAAACTGGAGAAGAGTTAAAGTCAGCGCTGAATCATCTCATTAAAGAGAACCTGTTGTCTTTGGTGAGCTGCTGCCGTCTGTTTCTTTTCCGACTGCAAGGAGCTCATGTGAGTTTATTCTTTAAAGTGGACCTCCGCCCCTCTTCTTGCCCCAATTTGCACAATCTGCCAATGTCAGCTCAGGTCAATGTAAAACTGTCTGTGATATATCATGTTTATCCAAAGATTGGTGTCATTTTATGTGTTCTGTTCTCTTCTTCCAGGGAGAGACGCCGAGCAAACTACATTACCTACCGTGAAGGACGAAGCTGCGCTGACACCAAACACCGCCAATAAGGTATCCAATGAGGATGTGAATATTTTTTTGTCAATGACTACATCAATACCAAGCAAGGCAAATCAACAGGTTCACTTTACTGCCCCCCCCCCCATATGCCCACCTTTATTCCACCCTGCCAGGGGTGGACTGACAACTCATGGGGCCCCCGGGCAATAGAGGGATCATGTGTCCTTGCCCAAACTCAAAAAAGCCTATGAAAAAGGTACCAGGGGCATCTCATGGGGTCCCTACTGACTCCGGGCCCTCGGGCAGTGCCTGAGTTTCCAAATGGTCAGTCCACCCCTGCACCCCCGCTCTTCCACCTTTATGCAGCTTCTGGTTGTAAAGGGAGAGCCCCGTAAGATCAGCTTAAAGTGGAACTTTAGTCCGAAAATGAAGTCGCAATAGATCACTTCATGTTGGCCCTTTTTGCAGGTAAAAATATGTAAACATTTTTAAATAACTGCCTATACTGCTTAATGTGCAGTTTCGCCCCCCCCCCCCCGAAATTAAAAGTCAGCAGCTACAAATACTTCGGATGCTGACCTTTAATAGCAGGGCACTTACCTGTCCAGGGATCCAGTGGCGGTCCAGCAGTGTCTTCACCCTGAGTCGATTCTACAGTCGACTGTTATCATCCTAACTGACCCCCAGTTCACATCTATGCGGCCATGCGGGACGCATTTTGCACAGGCATGAGAGCCTATTCGTTTGAATGGACCCCCGTGCCCATGACACGCAGAGAAGAAGTCCCTGCACTTCTTTGGTTCCCAGTACGGTTGCGTTTTCCAGTGCGGAAAACTCGAACTAATGGCACCCGCCTGCGGGTCCACAATTCTCTGTGCGGGTGGGGCGGCTGCACAGATTTCCATGCGGATCCGCAGCGGCACCACCCGCGCAGGTGTGAACCTAGGGTAAGGGAAACCGGCGTGCTGCACTTTGTGAATAGGCTGCAGAACTCTGGGACTATGGAACTGTCCCAGAGGGCTGCAGGGGGGTGCCAAACTTCCAGCTGAGTTCGCTCCCTCCCAATAGGTGCCAAATGTGACAGTGGTGGGGTGGAGGCAGAAAAGAAGAGATTCCACTTTTGGGTGGAACTCCGCTTTAATACTCAATAATGCACTTTCCTTTCTTACCCTGTTTGGCACATGCTCAGTTGCTCTCTATTCTCGGCACTGTGCCTAAGACTTCATTCACACTCATACAACTTTGGACACTAACGTTGCATGACAAGCCGTACCCAGGGGCGGACTGACCATTTGGAAACTCGGGCACTGCCCGAGGGCCCGGGGTCAGTAGGGGGCCCCATGAGATGCCCCTGGTACCTTTTTCATAGGCTTTTTTGAGTTTGGGCAAGGACACAGGGGCCCCATGATCCCCTATTGCCCGGGGGCCCCATGAGTTGTCAGTCCGCCCCTGGCCGTACCCCATGACAAGCGTTTAAATATGTACGACTTAAAGTTGCAACAACTTCAAAGTAGTTCATGCACTACTTTGGTAGTGGTACGACTTTCATTCAACTTGAGTGCCATAGACTGCAGTGTAAACCCTCAAAAGTCATATGAAAGTTGCACCTGAATGTTATACATGGAACAGTTTGCAAGAGCTGCCCATTATCATTAATGAAAGCCAAAGTCGTATCCAAGTTGCAGCCATCCAAAGTTGCATCAAAGTTGCACTCCAAAGTCTTATGGCTTTGTAGTCATACAGCTGTGAATGGAACCTAAAATCAGAGTCACCAAAGGCCGATCGGCTGACAGCTTTAAGATTTACTGTTCCTGAAGGAGGAAGAAAGAAACATGAATGACATAGACTGTACTGGGGGCAGGGGCGGATTGACAACTCATGGGGCCCCGGGCAATAGGGGATCATGGGGCCCCTGTGTCCTTGCCCAAACTCAAAAAAGCCTATGAAAAAGGTACCAGGGGCATTTCATGGGGCCCCCTACTGACCCCGGGCCCTCGGGCAGTGCCTGAGTTTCCAAATGGTCAGTCCGCCCCTGGCTGGGGGAAAACACTTATTAGGGCGGGATAAAAGAAAAGTGGAAGAGGTGACAGGACAAACTCTGCTGAGAATATCATGGAAATTGCAAAGGATTAATGCCCTTTTTTGTGTGTATTTTGCACATGCAGTTTTTTTGGTTCACTTACAGGTGTTTTGTTTTTGTGCACCACTGCAAGTTCAAGAAAAAAAAAAATCAGTGATCACGAAGTGTTCAGCACACCCCTGTGTTTTTTTCTACTCTTGAATACAGAAAAAGATACATTGTATTGCCTACTATATAGGCCTCATGCACACTGGGCGTTTTTTAAAGAGTTGTTTTGAGCGTCAGGCATTTTTTCCTACAGCCAGTAAACTCCCCAGCATAGTTATCCTATGTGTCCATACACACATAGGGGTTGAATTACTAAAGGAAAATAGACTGTGCACTCAGGGAAGCTCCGGATCACGAATTGTATTTTCGATACAGGGCCGTCACACATTTAAATGTAATCAAAAATTCACTTTATTGTTTGAACGATGTATCATAATAGATGAACATATGTGTCTTATTTCCTTTTAACAGGAAAGCAGCAATAATACTATGGGGTAGATTTAATAAAAGGCAAATAGACTGTGCACTCTGAAAGTACAGTTGCTCCAGAGCTTAGTAAATGAGCAGAAGCTCTGCTGACTTCCATCATCCAATCATGTGCAAGTAAAAATGCTGTTTTTTTTTTATTATCCTTGCATGTGATTGGATGTTCTTCGCAAAGTGAAGCTTTACCTCATTTACTAAGCTCTGGAGCAACTGCACTTTGCCTTTAGTAAGTCAACCCCATTGCATTTCGTGTAAAAAAAAAAACAATTTTTTCAAAATAATAATAAAAAATAGCTAGATCAGCCATCCAGAGCAGTGTGCTTACAGTGAAACACTCCCTACACCCAGTTAACCCTTTGATCGCCCCTCATATTAACTCCTTCCTGCCCATTGCCATTAGTACAGTGTCAGGTTTTTTTTTTTAGCACCAATCGCTGTATTGGTGTCACTGGGAATGTCAGTGACACCAAATCAGTCCCCCCCCCCCCCCCCCCCAGTGTCAGAATGTCCATCGCAGTCCTGCTAAAAGTCGCTGATCGCCGCCAATGCTAGTAGAAAAAAAAAAGTATCTATATCACCCTTTGTAAACACTATAACTTTCACGTAAACCAATTAATTTACACATATTGTGATTTTTTTTTTTTGTAGCAAAGACATGGAGCAGAATACATTTTGGTGTACATTTATGATGCAATTTGATTTTTACATTTTTTTTTTACTGGACATGTTTAATAGCAAAAGTCCAAAATATTGTTTTTTTCTCAAAATTGTCGGTCGTTTTATTTTATAGCGGAATAAAATACCACCAGAAGAAAGCTCAATTCATGGGAAAAAAAGTACATAAATTTAATTTGGGTGCAGCGTTGCATGACTGCTCATTTGTCAGTTAAAATTAGCGCAGCTCCGTATCGCAAAAAATAGCCTGGTCAGGAGCAGGGGGGGGGGGGATCCTCAGGAGGGTAAGTGGTTACAGACAAAATCCGTGTCACGGACAGACTGTATCTGTGGCTGGCAGTGGCGGGGTGACAGTTGCAGTGAGTGGAGGATGATGGATCCACACCAGGGGCGGACTGACAACTCATGGGGCCCCCGGGCAATAGGGGATCATGGGGCCCCTGTGTCCTTGCCCAAACTCAAAAAAGCCTATGAAAAAGGTACCAGGGGCATCTCATGGGGCCCCCTACTGACCCCGGGCCCTCGGGCAGTGCCCGAGTTTCCAAATGGTCAGTCCGCCCCTGATCCACACTCTTGACAGATCCCAGGCTGAGATTCCCCAGGCAATGGGGAGCGATAAAACATTGTGACAGCAAGCAGCTGAACTGAGTGATCCCACACAGTGACAGATCTGACACAACACACCAACACTGACACAGATCAGCAGGCACTAGGCACTAAAGAGCAGGCTGGGGGATCATGATGATGTCATCACTCACTGACACATTGCACATGTGATGGATTGCCGGCCGGGTCACACTTACACAGACACAGAGTCAGACATCACCTACCTCAGGAAGGGCTGGAACTCCACAGTGACCATCAGCAGCCGCCAGCCAGCTTGCAGTATGGGACAGAGTCTGAGAGAAACACTAGAAGGAATGGCAGCTCAGCTGCTACACTGGCCACAGACACCCAGCATCTTCCTCCCCTCTGCCGCCCCTCCTCTCAGCTGGAGGATCATTCGTGATGTGGCGGCTTTCCACACAGAGAGAGTGCTGGCCTGGGGTTTTCCCTATTCGCCCCTACGTGGCAGTGTGCCCTAGGCGGCCACCTAGTTTGCCTAGTGGAAGAACCTGCCCTGCCTACATGCTGCACCTTTGGTGCACTTTCTGAAAGTGCACCAAAACCATGGGACTTCGATGAAGTCAGCTGTGCCTTACCCAAAGCACAGTGGGATTGCACCGGTCCATGTGAAGCTGCCCTAAGTTGTTGCGATGATATGTACATATTTACTAACACATGTCAACATTGTGTTCAGTTTGTCTTTCACTCTGTCATGAAGGGGTTAAAAAAGAACTACAAAGTACAAAAAAATTGTGGTCTTTACAAATGTCATATAAATATATACACTCACCGGCCACTTTATTAGGTCCACCTTGCTAGTACCGGGTTGGACCCCCTTTAGCCTTCAGAACTGCCTTCATTCTTTGTGGCATAGGTTCAACAAGGTGTTGGAAACATTCCTCAGAGATTTTGGTCCATATTGACATGAGTTACTGTTGCCTTTCTATCATCTGGAACCAGTCTGCCCATTCTCCTCTGATCTCTGACATCAACACACAACTGCCACTCACTGGATATTTTCTCTTTTTCGGACCATTCTCTGTAAACCCTAGAGATGGTTGTGCGTGAAAATCTCAGTAGATCAGCAGTTTTTGACATACTCAGACCAGCCCATCTGGTACCAACAACCACGCCACGTTAAAAGTCACTTAAATCC